CTCCTGGCTTCTGGCTTCAGATCGGCACAGCTCCGGCCGTTGCGGCCATCTGGGGAGTGAACCAACAGATGAAAGATATCTCTCTCTTTCTCTGTCTCTACCTCTCTCTGTAACTCTTTCAAATAAATAAAATAAATCTTTTAAAAAAAGTTTGTGTCTATTTAAATATTTGGACATACTGTATGATTCTATTTATAGAAAATTGTAGAAATTTAAATTAATGTATATTGATAGAAAGTAGACCAGTGGCTGCCCTGAGAGAGTGAGTATTGGGACAGAGCAAAGAAAGTTTGCCAAAGGGCACAAGGAAACTTCTGGGAGACATGGAGATGTTCACTCTCAGGATTCTAGTGATTGCTGGGTATATTTGTATATATGGATATGGATGGAATTGCTTTCTGTCCAATGAGCATACCATCTCTTCATGTCCTTTGTTGTCCAGTATACCATTTTTACATCCCCTCCATTAAGAAAAAGGTAGCAGCGCTGTTATTATTCAGGAGCCATGGCCATCGACCTTGGAAACTGATTTAGTGAAATAACATAGATATTTTGCCCCTCAAGTTATTCGATCTTAGTGACATCATTACTCATGCGTGACCATTACATCATCTATCATACACGCCATCCATGAACTCTGGCTTCCAGTGGCATTCTTAGAGGTCATTATTTTGTTTCATTGATGATGTCCACACAATGCAATTCTTAATCATAGTGCACAGGAAAATGTGGGAGATAGCTCATTTTCTGTTGGTGTTAAATTTAGCATTTGGTGTTTTATAGCATCGAAGGAGAACAGCACACGTCCCTACCATGTCTTCTATTGAACTCTAGGCTATAATTGCTGCATTCCTCAAATGGTACCTCTATCATTACTGATAACACACCTGCCTTCCATACGCCATCTCCAGCAGGGAGGTAGGGTAGAGGTAAAAGAGCCCATCCTCACAAGGAATTTCTGTCCTCCATCCTGCATGACTTAAGACCAGTCCATGGGGCCAGCACTGTGGCAGAGTAGGTTAAGCCTCCACCAGCCGCATGCTATCATCCCATATAGGAACCATTTCATGTTCCCACTGCTTCTCTTCCAATCCATCTCTCTGCTATGGCCTGAGAAAGCAATAGAAGATGACCCCAGGGCTTGGGCCCCTGCACCCTTGTGGGAGACCCAGAGAAATCATCTCCTGGCTCCTGGCTTCAGACCTACTCGGCTCTGGCCATTGTGGCCATATGAGGAGTGAACCAGCAGATGGAAGACCTTTCTCTCTGTCTATCCTTCTCTCTTTCTGTAACTCTGCCTCTCAAAAAAATTAACAAAATCTTTTAAAACAGAAAAAGAAAAAGACCAGCACATGAGAGCATTACATCACCACGGAATCAACAGCAAGAAAAGGCCTCTGCTGGAGCTCATTGCACTGTAGAGCAATAGTCTTGAAAGTCCTCTGGGAATACAGGTGCAGCCAGGGACCACCATATACTTGGCACAGAGTCTGCAGAGGGGCTGGGGTGACCACCTAGTAACCAGAGATAGGGGGATGGGGGAGGCACAGGATAAAGGAACCTGGTCACCACCTTTGCTACCTTTTGGTGCTGTGGACCAGAGACAGCACTGCAGTTGGGAAGTGTGTGATGACACACAGATCTACCCACACACAGGGCAAACACCAGAGTCAGCAGCGAGCGAGCTGTCAGTATCCAGAATTCTGAATATATTTTATATCTAACATGTGGGAGAATCACCCCAAATCAACATGTTTGCACCATTTTGGTGTCCCAAGGTCACCCAAACAAGCACCCTCCTAGCGACCCAGAGTGACCCATTTGCCTCTGGAATTCAGTGCTGGTCAGTGGGTCCAGGATGATGCCATACATGCCACGTAGAGGTAAGAGTCCCCAGGGCATCCGGCTGAGCCCACATACTTGATAGAATCTTGGCAAGTACCCCAAAAGGAGAAACGGGAACAGAGGCCACCACATACTCCACTGGTGTGCTGCACTTCCCACCAAAATGGCTGCCACCTGTCGCTCCCCCTCTTCATGGAGGAACAACACTAAGCCCTGTCTAGGCTTCATATCCGAGTCACGGCACCATTATGTCGCTCCCCCTCTTCGTGGAGGAACGACACAGGACCCTGCGCTGTTCTTTCGTCTGCTCGGCCCTCCCCGGGTTTGCTGCTGGTTCTTCCCGGGTTGGCTACCGACCCTTCCACCTCCGTGGAAGGGCGGTTCCCCCTAGCCACTTTCACCCACTTCCGCGGGGGAGCGGCACACCGCCGGCCGGCTCTCTGGGGGGCTGCACAGGTGTTCCCCTTAGATGTTCCTGGTGCATGTTGTCTCTCTCCTCCTTTATAGTCCTCTTCCACCAATCCCAACTCTGCTACCCACACGCCGAGTACGCTGCTCTCCTCCAATCAGGAGCAGGTCCTGCTGTTTATTGGTTGAACTGGAGGCAGCTGTGTAGAAGCTGCTTCTCCCTTCTCAGCGCCATATTGTGGGAGAGCAGATGCATAGAATAAGTCTTAATTCCAGTAACTTAGTCTAGTCCGAGTTGCTCCCAGTTGCTCCCCACACCACCCCTCACCCTGCTGGTCTCAGGCTCTGGACAGAGACAGAGGAAATCTCCAGGGATGCTTATCCAGCAACTGGAACCCACCTGGAACCAGATGTGGATGCAGGATGCCCTGATACCCTTGACTGGTCACAGCCCACAGGGTGGGACACAGATGATTTTCCAGGAAGGCCCTCCTGACCACTGGGGCCTCTGAAGCAGAAAGGCCAGGACAGGAGCCCTGTTTCTCAGGGAAGCAGAGAGGGGGAGGCCGCTCCCTGCCTGAGTGAGGGAGAGCCTCCAAGCTGAGAGAGAAATGGATGTGCTTGTTTACACCGCTGAGATCCCAGGGTATTGTTGCTGTAGCAACCGAGCTCACCCTGAGTGAGGCAGAGGATGATGGCCGGGCACTGGCACCAAACCAGCAAGCAGTACAGGTGGCAGTGGTTGCATCAGGAGGACGTGTGGGGAGGGGTCAGCACCAACATGCCTCCTGCTGTTGGCAACGATTAAGAATCTCATCATTGAGAGTGTTTGGGTTAGCCCAGCCCAGATTCCTACTTGGGTTCTCTTTTATTTGACAGGACCACAAGGGGATGGAGCTGTTTCATAGGACAGGAATTGTGCCCTCCACTGAAGTCATCCCCTGGAGGATGGACATCAGGCGTGGGAACTGAGAAGCAGGAAGCTGCCCCTCCGTCTGAGCACACTGCTGCCCATGTCAGCTTCTCCCTCACGCTGCAGCCCTGCCCTCTGCCCCAGCAGCCTCCTGAGCCTCCCCTGCTGACTCCCCAAGAGGTCCTTCCATGACAGCCCCAGGACACAGAGGCTGACCCATGACCCACAGCTCATTCCCTCTAGGAGGCCTCCACTTGTGGGAGGAGCCTTGCCCTTCCTCACCCAGCTCGCTGCTGTGGGTGACAGGTCTTCAAACAGTTCATGGAAAATGTACGTATGATTAACAAACTATGCATGGATTTCAAAAAGCTTTGCACCCAAATAGACAGCTTTTAATTACATTCTCCATGAGCCCCTGCATTTCAAATCCTTGAATTTTATTCCAATGGAACTACACTGAATTGGCCTTCATGGCTATTTAAATGTAGTGCCATTGATATAATAAAATATTGGCAGAAAAAAAAGGAACTGAATCTCCTTTGTGGGACCAGCATTATGGCACAGCAGGTTATGCCACTGCTTGCAACCCTGGTACTCCATATTGGAGTCTGGTCTCAGTCCCACCTGCTATGCTTCTGATCCGGCTCCCTACTAATGTGCTTAGGGAGGCAGTGGAAGATGGCCCAAGTGCTTGTGCCCCCGAAACTCATGTGAGAAACCCGGGTGGAGTTCCTGGCTCCTGGCTTCTGTCTGTCCCAGTCTTGGCTGTTTCGACAATTTGGGGAGTGAATCAGCAGAGGGAAGATTCTTTCTTTCTCTCTCTCTCTCATACTCTGTGACTCTGCCTTGCAAATAAATAAAACTTTTAAAAAAAAAATCTCATTCATCACTGGGGCCACCTTCTCCTCCAGGTTCGCCCATAGACAGAGTCCGTAAACCGCAGGGAGGCCTCCAGCCCCAACAGGGTTGCTGCTGACAACTCCATGGCTTAAGGCCAAAGGAGGCTCAGGGGACCCAGCAGTACCCCCTTGTAGTGCACATTACAAGGTGCAGGAGTTTTGTAAAGGCTGAGAATTGCAAGCCATTCTCCTCTGGCCCACACTGGGAACTATTTCCCCTGAGGCCTTGCTCCCTCTAAAAGATGCCATTAGGTAATGGGGGCACCCTTCTTCCCATCACCTCTCTCAGACTATGGGAAATCTACTCCCTCTCGCTCCTCTTGTTGCCCTGAAAGGCCTTTAACAAAAGGTCTTGAGTGCTCTTGGCTTCAGGAAATTCAAAGGCAGGAGGGGCGATACCTTGGAAGCCACTGCACCCTGGACCCTGTGATGCACTGTCTCCCACCCCTCACCCCGGCCAGCAAGTCTGGCCTGTGATGCTCTACCTTCATGAACTGGAAAGCAAGGGAGGAGGACTACAGGGAAAACTCCAGAACAAATGCCACCCCCCGAGCAGAGCAGAGCAGAGCAGAGTCTCAGATGAGCATACGCAAAACACCCACACATACTCTCACCTTGGGCACCCGACATCCAGCAGCACGAGAGAGCAAAGAATGAATCACATGCACCTGGGATCTCGAAGTGAACCCAGTCCCAAGCAGAGTGCCAGGGCTGCTGCTTCTGAATTTGCATAAGGAATCTAAGGGCTCAGCATTGTTCGGGTGCACTCAGAGCATTTGTCAGGCACTCTGATGAGTGGTTCTTGGAGCCACCATCCCTCCTGTCCAATGACAATAATCAGTGACTTCCGGGTTAGAATCCTATTGTGGGGCTCTGAAGTGCAGAGACAGCTAGGTAAAATGCACTTGCAAAGTGAAATAAGGTTTATTCAGTACCTTCTGAGCCTAGTTGTCTGGGGTGCAAGCTCCCGATTCTGCCTCTCGCTGGCCTCAGCTCTGCCTCTGAACATCACCGCTAAGGTTGTGCACTGCCTCCGCACTTGGCACTATCGTCAGGTACAGCCATTTTTCACCTCAAGTTCTGCACTCGTGGGCTTCCTGCATCTCCCAGCAAACAGCTTAAAGAAAGAACATTTGGCAAATTACTGCTCTATAGGTCACAATTGTCAATTCCTCCTTAAAAACAACTGCAGCACCTCATTTTGAAAATGACTGTTGTTATGTGGGACTGGAAGGGAAAGACCAACATTATTGAATAGAGTCATCAAGAGAAATTTAGGCCCGTTTCCTACCTGCCATATTTATCCCTGCTCCTTGGAGGAGCTGAGGTACGTGAGTATTTAACACCCTTTTCAGCCAGGAGTGCCAGGCCGCCTATGCATTCTTAGTGGCCTGCCTCCTGAGCTGGAAGTGAATGGGGAAGCTCACTTCAAGAGCAAGTGCCATCTTGGATGTGCACAGAAGATGATCTGCCACAAAGCTGGGCAGGACCTGGGGTGTGCACATGTGAAACGCAGGCACAGGCATACAACTGTTCCGTGGGAGGGAACAGGGGTGACCGGGCAGCTGTGACTTCTGCATGCAGAGGCAGCTGAGGTCGTGTGGGGCTACCCTGCTGACATACTCCAAGAGTAGCAGGTTCTACACAGCAAACTGAGGCATAGGCGTGGCCAGTACCCAAACCACCATCCACCACGTGCAGAGAGAGCATTCATGGCAGAGACCCTGCCCCCCCCCCAAAAAAAAAAAAACACTGCAGACTAGAAGCGTCCCTCTCCTTAGGAGGTGAGTGGTGAGGAAGCACCCTGACAGCCAGGCCCTCCAGCACACGTGGAGACAACCCCAGCACAGCTCCATTGCCAGGGCAGAAAGTGCCCTGTACCTGTGGTCATGGGAGGTCAACTGGGGACTGGTGCGCACCTTGATGGCCTCACTCGAGTGTCTGGTGATCGTGGCTGGACAGTTGGGTGTGCTTCAGTGCTCCTTCACGTGGTCTCGGCTGGCCTCACACTGTGACGCGTGCATACCCATCCAGCCTCTGCCCACGTCACATTGGTTGGTGTGCCCTTGGCCAAAGCAAAATCATGGGCCTGGCTCAGAGTCGATATGGGCATGTGTGACTCTGGAAACGGCATCACTCCGCAGGAGCCCGAGAGAGATGGGCGTGAGGACCAGGCCCTGTCCCTAATAACAACCCCAGGGCAGGCAAAGTGGGGAAGACACCACTGGCACACCTGCATCCCATACTGCACCACCCGGGGTCCATCCCCAGCCTCGGCTCCTGAGTCCAGCTTCTTATGCACGTGCACCCTGGGAGGCAGTGAGGATGCCTCAAGTACTGGGTTCCTGCCACCCACGTGGGAGATTGGGGTTGAGATCCAGCTGCAGCTACTGGCCACTGCAGGCCTCTGGTAAGTGGAACAGTGGAAGCAAGCAACCACCCGCCAAGATCCATGAATTAAAAATTTGTAACAACCCTCTAATAATAAACATTTGTAGCAACAACAATGGGAACTAATCCCTGTGCACCTTAAGCCACCCCAGGAGGCTAGCCTCAGTGCATTCAGGAGCTGGATTGGGGCCCATGCTCCCAGCACATGGACTCTGGGGAGCAAACCTCACCCCGAGTGGAGGAAAATGCAATCTGGAGACCACGAACCCTAGGGAATCTGGAGAATGAACTCAGGCAGAGAAAGGAAACCTATGGGCAGCTTCCACACAATTAAGAATATTTGACTGCTGAAGCTGGGTGATCCCCACTCATCATTCATTGTGTTATTTTACAGCACTTTGGGAATCTCCTAAAGAGTGTACAATGAAATTTAAAAGAGGAGAAGCTGAGTGGGGGGGGGAATAACAGAATCAGTTAAAACCCAAGTCTTGCTGGACAGCATCTCTGCACATGACACAGCTGTGTACTCGTTCCCACCTGCAGAGGAGGCCAGCAGGTGTGTTGGTGTGGTGACCAGGGCCCTGGACACTGTGGTCCCCATGCCAGGGCAAGGGAAGTGGGCAGAGAGGCAGAGCAATGGCCCTTGAGGGAAAAGAACCGACTGTGGCCCCAAGGTGGCACCCTAGGGGCAGTGTGGGGCCCAGGACCAAGGAGGTGCTGGGGGAGGGCTGAGTCGCTTTCCCTGCAGGGAGCAACCTGGTGATCAGCACCCTGGGGAGCTGCGGGCCTGTGGCTGCTCCTGCCTGACATGTGCTGTCCCTGTCCTTAAGGTCAGCAGCAGCCCGGTGTTACCAGCATGCGGCTCAGGAGCTGGTGCCAAGGAGTTCTCAGTGCTCTGTGCCTGAAGCCCTCCCTGGCCAGTGTCAGGACAGGGCCCTGGTTCCCGCTCTGGACAGTCTGGGCCACGCCGGCTTGAGGTCCTATGCAGGTGGTGCTCAGTGGGTGGCTCCCCTGCCCTCCATCGCAGGAGGACCCCCTGTGTCCACCTCCTACAACTCCTGGGAAGAAGGGCTGGAACAGAGCAGGAGGGGTCAGCAGGGGTTGGTAGGGCTGGGGTGGGGCCTGTGGTAGGACAGGAGGCTGCAGCCCTGGGAGTCTCCGTTCAGGTCATTGCAGGGGCAGCCCCGAGTGTGGGGACCTCAGGAAGAAGGACAGGCCATGATGGGGCTCCCTGTGCCACCTTGTGTTCAAATAAAGAGACCTTCACAGTTGGGCTGTAATAAAGTTGTGTTTTAGAGGAGGGCAGGAGGTGCAGGTTGCCTGGGACTTGGGACCGTTATGGCAGGTGGCAGAGGGCCCAGGCATCCCTGGTTCTGGGGCAGTTCTGCCAGAGCCCTGCCCTCTTCACCTGGGGCCTGGGGAGAACACAGGCCCCATTTTTGGTGACTTTTGTTGAAGCCAGAGCTGAGGACCCTGACCCCTTGCCACAGCTGCACGTCACTTGGGATTGGCTGGCAGGATTCTGTGACATCACAGTCACTGAGAACTGTGCACTCTGGGTTGTCGGCAACCAGTGGTCAGTAGTGCTTCTACTGGCCAACTGACCAGGTGTGGGTAGCGTAGGCAGGAGGCACTTTTCACAGAATCCAATGGATTCGCGATGGAGGTGAGTGGGACTGGCTCTCTGTATGAGCTGTGACGTGGGAAAGGTCACGCCAGGTGGGTGGCACTGGTCTCCCACACCGGGTTCCATAAGTGATGTGGCTGAGCTCTCAGTGGGCCCCTGTGTGCAGTGTGTATACAGTCGTCTCATTCCTCCCGCTCTGCTGGGCATCAGTGGTAAATGGGCCTTGGTGTGTGTCTGTGTCTGGACATGGGTTCAAGACTAGGTGTTGGATCAGCTGGTATCAGGTGGGGCAGGGAGGACGGCTCTGAGAGCCCTAGAGATGTGGGGGCTGGGAGCAGGTCAGGGAGACCCTTAGACTTGGGCTCCCTGGAGGACACATAGATGCCAGGCTGGGGGAAGAGCGTCCTACCTTAGGGCAGGGGAGGCTAGCCAGGGGCTGTCTTGCTCAACCGTCCCTAGTCCCTGTGCTCTGGACAAGTCATCCTCCTGGGACCCGACCACCAGGTGCCCGCCCACCTGCCTATGTGGCTCTGACCAGGGGGACAGCCCTCAGGGCAGCAGTTCCCGTGGGCTCCCTGTGCTGGCTCACATGTGCGTGTGTGTCTTACAGATTGGATATGGACGCCCTGAGGTCCGGCAGGGCCCAGGAGCGAGCAAGGATCATCTTGAAATATGAGCAGGTACGGGCCAGGGTGCTGGGGGAGGAGGTGGGGCCCTGCCTCAAGTACTGTGCTTGTGAGAGCCAGACCCCGCCTCCCTGGGGACACAGCGGGGAGGGTGTTTCAGCTCCCCTTGTGACTGAGACCCGGACGTCTCACCTGGGTCCCCTCTCCCCTGCAGGGTCCTCGTAAAGGGGCCCAGTTTCACCTGGGAGAAGAGGACGACGAGAGTGGAGCCCTTGTCCCAGACAAACTTGGATTCCTTTGGTGAGTCCTCTGCAGCCCGATCCACCCACGGGAGGATCCATCCACGTAGAGGGGGTGGCTTGAGGGTCCTGCCCTGCTCCTAGGGGACACAACCGGGTCATCAGCATTCCAGAGCTGTGGCCACAGGGTTGGGGCACCAGCCTAGAAGGTGGCACTTGTCCAGGAGGTACCTGGGTCTCAGGGGCCAAGCTAAAGGCTTAAAGGCCCGGCCTGAGGGACGGCCAGGGGTGGGACCTCAAGGCTCCGAACCTGCCTGCAGGCTTCCCCAGTACAGACCGGGGCAGAGGGGTTTGCAGCGGAGGGCACTGTGCTGGGAGGAGTGGGACCTGAGGGCAGGAGACAGACGTGGAGGCTGTTCCCACAGATGTCAGGGAGAGAGGTCCCGTGGCTGGAGCGTGGGCTCTGGTGACCTAGAGGGATGGAGCCTTCTTGGCCACCTTAGCTCGGGGATGGGGGTTTCTGGCTCCATGTTGTGCCAGAACCTGGAGAAAAAGCAGGAGCCAAGTGGTGGAGAGATGCCCACGGTCCGGGCTGACAGAGGAGGGTGAGATGGAAAGCAGGCACCTCAGGGGGCCAGTACATGGTGGGGAGGGAGGGTGGGGGGTACCCTGGGCGGGTGTGGTGGTCCCAGGTGCCTCGAGCCCCAGCTGCACACTCACAGCACTGGCAGCAAGGGCTCCTACCCGGCCCTGGGCTCCCTGGGCTCACAGTCACAGCCCCTGCTGGGTGTCTGCCTGCAGCATGGCTGCCCCCTCCCTGCCCTTCTCTGTGCCCTGGGCTGCACCTCAGCAGGGTGAGGAGGACACAGGTCCTGTCCCAGCCTTGCTGGGAAGTGGACCATGCGTGGTTCAGTGCCCATTCTCATGGTGTTGTCTCTCTTGCCTTTCAGTAAGCAGAAGCCGCCCAGGCATGGATGCCTGGCAGTGCAATGGGTAAGCTGACCTTGGCCATGGACTCTTCATCTAGGAGGCAGAACTAGTAGGCCTGTGGGTATGGGCAGTGGTTAGCGGAGTGCCATATGGTCCTCCAGGGACAGCAGTCCCCAGGAGATCTGTTGAGGCCCACACGCCCCAGTGCAGGCCTGCAGCTCGGGGGTCCCCGCCTGTGGGCCACTGTGACCCACTTTCCTGGATGCAATGGGACTGGCTTGAGGATGGCTTATCCTGTGGGCAGAGCCCAAGCCCCTGAGGCTCCCCTACTTGGAAGGTCTGGGTGCTGTGGTCTGCCCCTTTGCTGGCTCCTCCCAGCTGAGTTGTCCACAGGCTCCTGAGCTGCACCTGTGGCCTCTCTCAGAGGACACTGTTCAGCTCACGCCAACCTGTCTCCATTCCCAGCGTAAACATCAGGAGGGCCGCCGACTGCAAAAATGGAATAAGATGCTGCGAAATTTCACCAAGTACCACAGCAGTGAGAAGGTGCCTGGACCTGAGGGCCCCTGGGGACCACTGGGGGCGGAGTTGCGATGGACGGTGCCCATCGCTGTGCCTCTCAGACACAACTGTCCTGCCCTGAAAGGACACAGGTCATCTCAGCCCCATGCCCGTGCACCCAGGACACTGTCGCAGTAGAAGATCCAAAGTCTCCCCCGGGGCCACTCCCAGATGCAGGGCAGGCACAGTTCCTGGTGCCCTGTGGGGCCAGTGAGTGCACGACAGAGCCTGCACTGAGCCCTCGGCCCTCCTCTCACTGTTGGGTCAGGAGGCCCAGGTCCAGACAGATCTGGGGACACGGCACAGAGCCCAGGGCTCCCCTTCCTGCTGTCTCACCCTGCGCTCCCCCTGACAGAGGGCCTGGGGCGGGTCTCACCAGAGCCTCCTCTCTCCTGTAGTTCCACCGGAGAATTGAGAAAGGCATCCCCGCCCAGGTGCGCGGCAAGGTGTGGGCCATGATGCTCTCCGTGGATACCAGGAAGGCCCAGAACCCTGGCAAATTCGAGGTATGGCTCTGCGTGCAACCTGAGGCAGGCCGACCCGCTCGGGCCTGGTCAGGAGCCCGAGGCTCCCGCGTGGTGGACAAGTAATGCCAAGGAGGAGTGGTCATTTGCTTGGGGCCCCCACCCGGCCCTCCCCTCTGCCTCCTCCACGTCTCCCCCACACAAATGGGCCTGGACACAAGGATCCCGTCAGGGCCACAGCCCTCATCCCTGTGGTCCTGCCTTTGCTCTAGGCCCAGGACTGCCCAGTGCCATTATGCTGGGTCCTGAATGGATAGAGATGGCCTGGAATGAGGTGGAAGTCCTGTGTGCTAGGGCCCGCAGCTGGCTCTGTTCTAAATGGCCGTCCCCACACCTGACCCTGCTTGTGCGTTTCTTATGCTCGCCGGGCCCTGCCCTCACCTGGGCCTTCTCATGCCTGGCCTGGCCAGGCCTCAGCTCACCCAGCCCCGACCTGGCCTGCTGGTTCCATCGGTCAGAGTCAGCTCTCAACTGCTTCTGGGAATGCGGGCTGATCCATCAGAGGGCTGGCCCGGGAATGACTGTCATCTCCCTGGCTGACATCAGGGAGCAAGGAGCAACTGAGCTGCCAGTCCTGCCCTCCCCCAAGTCTTCAAGTGGGGGCTGCCTCTGGGGCCAGCTCCAAGTCCAAGAATGGTGTCCACTCTCTTGATGGAGCTGGGGCTCTCCTGCAGGGGGCAGCCCTGAAGGCTGGTCAGGGTGAGGCTGACTCCTGTCCTGTGGGGCCTGAGAGCCCAGTGAGGAGGCTCGGAGGCCTGATTGGGTCTCTGCTGCTCTGGGAAGGCAGAGGTAGCACAGGACATTGGCAGAGCCCCTGGCCTCAGGCTGACTGTAGTGGGTCCACAGTGGCCCCCTCTGCTGGACACTGGGGGTGGCGTGGGCCCTAAGGTGAGTGGGGAACCCATGACCCTCCCTGGATCAGGGGAATGAGCTGCCCCCAGAAAAACTCTCCCTGCCAACCAGAAGGGCTGCTGTGGCTTTGGGGTGCTTGTGTGGCAGTGGGGGTTGGCTCGTCCTGAGGCCGGCCCCTCCCCCTCGGCCCTGCCCTGCAGGAGATGAAGGAACGGGCCAGGTTGTGCTCAGATCAAGTCCAACAGATCGATGAAGAGGTAGCACGCACGTTCAGAAGTCACATCATGTTTCGAGAGCGATACGGAGCCAAGTGAGGCCTCTGGGCTCGAGGGGCCCGGGGGGAGGGAGGTGCAAGGGTCCTGGGACACATGGGGTCCTAGGAGAGACGTGGGCTCACACCTAAAGCATAATTCCTCTAGGACAGAAAAAAATGGACCCATGGCCTTCTATTTATACTGAACAGTTCGCTTTCCCAAAGACACTTTGGTGGGAATGAAATGAAAAGGAACACAAGGGGAGACAGTATTTACAAAATACAGAAAATGAAGTTATAAATCTCAATAATAAGAAAGCAAATGAGGGTTCCCTGCCCTGACATGGGCCAAGGCTCAGGAGGGCCCGTTCGTGACTGCACACACAACTCTCCTACTCAACGCGTGAACGCACGCTTAGCACCTAAACCACAATGGGGCACCAGCGCACAGCTGTGAGAATGGGGGAACTTAGACCACCGAGGACGCCGGGTGCTGGGGAGAACGTGAAGCGAGCCCCGCTCTGGTTCACTGCAGGAACAGAGCACAGTGCCCAGGCCCCCGGCAGCACCCAGGGCTGTTTCTCACAATGAGAGACACACACCTTCCACACGAACCCCCAGCACGCACGCACATTCACACAACTACTAGAACAGTTGAGTGCAAGAAAACCTTCATGCAAGATTCAGGGTTGTGTTCAAAGTCACTGGACGCAGGCGTAGCCTGCACGATGCTCAGTGGGGAAACGGATAAGCAACCCGTGTCACAGCTGAATCCTAGAACGGGATTCAGTGAGAGGCAGGACGAGGCTCGGCCCTGGGCTCACCTGGATGCATCTCAGGTGCATCCTGCTAAGAGAGGACGCGTCCCTCTAAGACTACACGTGCTGTGATCCACTCACAGGACATCTGCAAGAGGCCAAATCCGGGACACACAACAGGGCAGTGGTGGCCACGGGCTGGGGGAGGTGGGGAGTTTGGCCACAGGGGGCTCATGGGGAACACATAGGCCACAGGAGCTGCTCTCTACCAGAATGAACGTGCATGGGAGGCTGACTCTCCACGGCTTAGACCCACGGGACTGCACCTCCCACAGTGGGACGCTCACCTCTGCAATGAACACCCACCTGGGGAAACGAAACTGCACATGACTGCACCCTGGGGATGTGCATGTCCCTGCAGGCAGTGCTCACCCACACGGTGGACAACACGCAGGTGCCCTGATGACGTCACTGCTCATGAGCAGAGTGTCACGGGTGCTGCGTGTGGCTGTCAGGCTCTGTTAGGCAGAGCCACACTGAGAGCCTCGGCAGCACAGCACGCACAGCCTCTGTCCTCTCTCTTCCAGCCAACGCTCCTTATTTGAGGTGCTCCTCGCATACTCGATGTACAACCCCGTGAGTATTCTGCGATCACGTTCCAAGGTCATATCCAGAGCTGTCCATGCAGGGCGCCCCTGGTCACTGAGATCCTAGCCTGGGTTGAGGGGGCCTCTCTAATCCACAAGGCAGAGACCGAGGGGTAGAGTTCAAGCTCATGGCCTCCTTGGCCACAACCTCAAGTTCTGGGGGCAGAACGGAAGCCTTCTCCTGGGCTGGGCTCTGTTCTAGCCCAGGCAGGCCTTACTATGGTGCTTCTTCCTCAGGTCTGTAGTGGGGCCCAGCAGGGCCCCTGTGCAGCAGAGAGCTCCAGAGGCCGTCACGGGTGTGCAGTCTGCACTCCCACAACAGTCTTCCCCTTCCTGACATCTGGGGTGGGGCTCATACCTCTTCTTAACCCTGCGCAGCCTGCGCTCAGACCCTGCAGGATTCTCTGCAGGAACTTTGAGAGCCGGCGTGTGCTCCAGTCCCTGAGATCCTGACACCCAAGGGGCAGCAGTGGGGCCTGGTGGTAATGCTCAGCCCTCCCAGGAGAGGTCACCCTTGCCACTTGACATCATCCCAGCCAGGGAGGTCCCTCTGATGTGTTTTGTGTTCTTCCAGGAATTGGGCTACAGCCAGGGCCTAAGCCACGTGGCAGCCCTGCTGCTGATGTGGCTGAGTGAAGAGGATGCTTTCTGGGCCCTAGTCCAGCTCATGGGGGACAGCCAGCACGCGATGCATGGTGGGTGATGGGTGTGGTGGGCGTGGTCCTGCAAGTGCAGGGATGGGCATGCAGACAAGTGACTGGGACATTGTCCCTCGCTGGCTGCTGCGTGCATAGGGGAGTCTCCCTCGGGATGGTTCCTTAGGAGCCAGGGCCAGGCAGAGGGCCCAATACCAAGCCATACCCCTCACTTGCCATCACACAAAGGTCCTGTGCCTTGTCTTTGACAAATGACCCTTAGGTCCCTACTGGCCTCACTGCTTCACATCTCTAGTCAGACTCCCACCCACTGCGCCACACCCTTGCAGAAGGAGCATCCATTCTAGGGTGGCCCCTCCTCACCCTGAGTGTCCAGATGGCCCTGAGGCACCCAGTGTGACTGCAACCTGCCCTGGGCTGTCAGCTGTACCCCCCTTCCCCTGATGCTCCCCTGCCTGTTAGAGCCTCCCCTGACCCTCCGTGCTCAGCAAGACCCCGCCGCAAGCCTTTGGCTTTCCAGCCTTCCTGGGAAGACACTCTGAATGAGGGCTGGGGGGTTGCTATTACTCAGATTTCTACACACCAGACTCCCCAAAACTGGAGCGATTCCAGCACCACCTGGGAGACATCATGCATCGCGTGCTGCCCTCCCTGGAGAAACACCTGGTAAGTAAACATCTCCTTTCTCCCCTCGGGGGCTCTGTGCTCAGGGAGGGGAGGACAGAGAGGGGTCCTGACTGCTTCCTGGGCCAGGGGAGGCTACGTCCTCACCAAGGCTTTTCTTGGTTACTGGGGGCCGCGGCAGCTTGGGTGCTGGTTTGATTTCCAGCACTTGGTCCCCCAGAGTTTGTGTAGATTGCAGGGAGATGCTGTCCCCAGGGCAGAGTGGACTGAGGGACCTGTGTCCCTTCAGGAATCTGCATGGCTGGGAGAGGGGATGCACCTGCTCTTGGGCTTCCTGCACCCAGGGGCTCTGCCACAGGGCTCAGATTAGAGCGAGTCAGGCCTGGGCCCTGGGCCCTGAGCCCACTCTGCCTCTTCTTAGGAGGAGGAGGGTGTGTACCTTGAGGACTACACCGCACACTGGTACATCCAGTGCTTCCTGGATGGGGTAAGTGCCCCGGGGACCCCTTGCCCAGGGAAGCTCCTGCCCCAGTGCCTGGCTCTCCTGTCGTGGTGGCCTCTGACTCTGAGCTCCCCCAGCCCCAGCAGACACAGGAGGGAGTCTGCTGTACAGACCAGGCAGGCCCTGTCCTGCTGAGGGTGGTCCAAGCTGAGGCTGAGCCTCAGGGCCAGCAAGGAGGGGACAGGTCCCACCAGGACCCATCCTGAGAGCCTGGCAAAGGCCAGAGCCCTACAGTGAGAGGCAGGAGATCCACAGACCCTGGGTGCCACAGGCTGCTTTCAGCACAGCCCAAGGGCTGACCCCTCCCTCAGGTCCCTGGGCTGTCTGGCATCTCCAGGGTGGCTTCCAAAGTGTGCAGAGCAGTCTGCGTGGCCCCAGGGTCCTGGATAGGCCTTGGTGCTCTTTCTCTCTGGGCTTCTAGGACACAGCTAGGATGCCCTATGACACTGCACACCCACCCACGGTGGGCCCTGCTGAGGCCCTGACGCGCGGGGTCCTCCAATGCCTCTGTCCCCCAGGTGCCGTTCCCCCTGGCACTTCGGATGTGGGATATTTACATCCTTGAGGGCGCACATGTACTCACCGGCATGGTGTACACCGTCCTCAAGGTCCACCGAAGTAAGTCCTCAGGGCCCACAGAGGCCTGGGTGCTGGGGATGGAGGAGTTGGGGGGGGGTCCCATGCTTGGCCCGGGTGAGCAGAACCTAGGGGAGGGACAAGTTTTCTGAGTTCTTGGCCAGCTTAGGGGCATTGCGAATCCCGTTTCATCCCCAACCCCAAAAAATGGTGCCTCCCAGCCTGACACCCACCCCCATGTCTAGAGCCCGTGTTGAAGATGCCCCGGGACCACATCCAGGAGTTCCTGCATGTGCTCCTTCCCCACTGCCTGGCTCTCTTGTGTCCTGTGACTCTGAGCAGGGCTGAGCTCCCCCAGCCCCAGCAGACACAGGAGGGAGCCTGCTGTGCAGACCAGGCAGGCTCTGTCCTGCTGAGGGTGGTCCAAGCTGAGGCTGAGCCTCAGGGCCAGCAAGTGGGGGACAGGGCCAGGGTCAGGGGTTGCAGCAGGAACAAGGGTTGGAGCAGCCATGGTGGCTGCACCATCCCTAGGGCTCCTCCTAGCCTGATGCCCACCCCCATGTCTAGAGCGCCTGCTGAAGATGTCCAGAGACCACATCCGGGAGTTCCTGCAGGTGACCCTGAAGCAGGCCTGGTCACTGAGCGAGGATGCGGTCATCAGGCAGCTGCGGGCCTCCATGCGTGAGCTGGGGAAGCTCCAGTGCCTCCTGCCTCCCGAAGGTGAGTCCAGCACACGGCCCCGTCCCATGCTCCCTTGGGGGAGTAAGCAGTGGGAGACCCAGGCCCTGGCAGCCCGCCCAGGGCCTCCCCTCTTCCTAGTCCTCCTTGTCCTCCCCGGGCTCAGCAGTTCTGAGGTGTCCCTGTCATTCCCATGGCCCAGGCTGCATGGCCCATTCCTTCTGCGGCCAGCAGGCTGGAGGTGTCCTGAGCATCACACCGAGTGATGGGGACCCCAAGGGTCAGGTCAGGGCAGGCACCCTGCTGGCCAGATAGTGGCCGTGGAGAAACAAAACCCATCTCTTCTTTTTCCAGAAAAGCCAACCGAAGATGGCAGCCCAGCCCTGCTGGTGCCGCCTCGCTCTCAGGAGCGCGCTCCCCCACCAGTGTCCCTCAAGACCATCGTTGAGCGCAAAGGCTGTCACCCTGAGGCTGCAGCTCCCCAGGAGCCAGCGGAGGCTTCAGCTTCTGTCCCCTGAGGAGACCGGTCCTCTGGGATCTGCCGTCCAGCCCGACTCCAAGCAACACGCCAAGGAGCAGAAGAGCAGTCGTGGCGAGAGCGGCACCCAGCCCCGCGGCCCGGGCTCCTCCATGGGGGCCTCAGGGTCAGGGGGCGCCGCCCACCTCTCGGGCCCACAGTGCTCCTGGCTGGACGAGCCAGGCCCCCTCCGGCGCTGGACTTCCCTGACCAAACTCAACGTGACCTTCCAAGATGACTCCGACTCTGAGGACGAGGAGTACTACAGCGGCCTGGAGCAGCAGGAAGAAGACCAAGAGGAGGAGGAAGAGGAGGAAGACCGGGCTGCTGAGTGTTCTGCGTCTCCCTGGCCAAAGCTGCTGCAGGACCTGAGATTCGTCCTGCCCGAGACAATTTTTGAAGAGGACGAGGAGGGAGGCTGTGAAGAGGGTGCCTCCCCGGAGCCCTCGTCCCCAGCCCTGTCTGTGAAGTCCTCAGAGTCTCTGCATGGCCCGGGCCTTTCAGCCCCACAGAGCTTGCAGAGCAGGGGAGACCTGTCCCGATGGGCGGGCCTCCCAAATCTCAGCCCGCCTGTCAAAGGCGCTGATTTCTGGCCCCTGGAGCTGGGTGGCCAGCAGGGTCTCAGGGCCCCTCCCCCACCTGCCTCAGAGCCCCTGGATCCCGAGCCCAGGCAGGCTGTGCCAGCCCTGGGAGCAGGGCTGAAGACACCCTCCCTGCATGGGAGCCCCATGCACTCTGGGGACACTCACGGGCTGGAGCCTGCAGGAGCCAGCCCTGTGCTGGGAGACCAGGCCCGTGTCCTCGCCCTGGCTCGAGGCCTCCTTGCTGCCCACTCCATGGAGCAGCTGGATGTGCGTGGGCACCTGGAGGGGAAGAACAGCCCACCAGGTGTCCAGCTCAGACGGGCCAGAAGCCTAGCCTGTCTAAGCACAGCGGCCACCCCGATGGACAAGGCTCCTCTCTAGAGCGCCTCTCCCCCATGCTGAGGCCTCACCCTAGCTCAACTCGGCCAGAGTCTAGCTTCTCTATGCCTGGTGGCCTCCTCGATTGACAAGGCTCCTCTCTGGAGCTCCTCTCCCCCTCCCTGAGCCCACCCTAGCTCCACTCGGCCAGCATCTAGCTTCTCTATTCTCAGGGCCTTCCCGATTGACAAGGCTCCTCTCTGGAGCTCCTCTCCCCCATCATGAGGCCTCACCCTAGCTCAACTCGGCCAGAATCTACCTTCTCTATGCCCAGCAGCCTCCCTGATTGACAAGGCTCCTCTCTGGAGCTCCTTCCCCACTCCCTGAGCTCACCCTAGCTCATCTCGGCCAGCATCTAGCTTCTCTATGCCTGGTGGCCTCCCGATTGACTAGGCTCCTCTCTGGAGTTCCTCTCCCCCTACCTGAGGCCTCAGCTTGGCCAGAATCTAGCTTCTCTGTGCCTGGTGGCCTCCCCGATTGACAAGGCTCCTCTCTGGAGTTCCTCTCCCCCTCACTGAGCGGCCTCACCCTAGCTCATCTCGGCCAGCATCTAGCTTCTCTATGCCCAACGGCCTCCCCGATTGACAAGGCTCCTCTCTGGAGCTCCTCTCCCCCTCCCTGAGCGGCCTCACCCTGGCTCATCTCAGCCACGGAGCCAGCCCACTGCCACAGTTGCTATGGGCACCCTCAGAGCAGGAGATGATGTAGGACACGAACCCAGGCACCTGTGGGCTGCCACATACCCCTCCTGCCTTCTTGAGGGAACCCTGGAACTTCTGCCCCTTGTTGATTCTGTATTAAATGGTTTCAGAATGCCTTTGATTTTGTGACCCCTGGAGCCGAGCTGCCACACAGGGTCCCTGAGTCCCTTGCAAGGGGCTGGAGGTGCCACAGCCGCCAGCTGCAGCCAGAGACCTGGCTCAGGGTGCTCCATCACTTCCTGAGATTGCCCTGTGCCCAGTGTGGACCAGGGGAGGACTGGAGGAGCAGCAGTGGCTGGGTACATGTGGCCTCTGGGACAGTTGAGGAGTGTGGGCCCAGCCAAGGGACCAGGCCCACGATCACCTCTGTGCACTGTCCTGGGTGTGTGGGCACCAGGTTCCTGCTCTTCTTCCCTCTTTCTTTGCCTTCCATCCTCCCCTGCCCCATCTCAAAATCCAGCATCTCATGGCCTGAGCCCGCGAGAGGACCCCAGGGCACTTCTGACCACAGACCAGGATGCCAGTGGGTGGAGACAGCCCAGAATGTCCAGGTGGTCCTGGTGGCACACCTGGCTGGCCAGATGCCCACATGCCTTCTTGCAGCTCAGGCCTCCTGGGCTGCTGTCACAGTGGGTTCAGCTTCTCCAGGTCATGCTGTCACTAGGGGTCATTTGCATGGAGAATGTGTCCCCTGATGTTGGGAGAAGAGACTCCTGGCTCAGAGGCTCCTGGCCTGGTGATTCCATAAGGAAGGAGTCTGGAACCCTGCCTTGGGCAGAAAGAGCACCCCAGTTCTCCAAGGGTCCCAGACACTTGTAGCCTCTTCCTCAACCCACACGACCTCCAAAAGGCGACTAGGCCCTGTTCATCAGAAGCCACCTGGGTCATCCCAATGGGGCAGGTTAGGCCACAGCCATTTTCCCCTGGGTCTGGAAGGCCCAGGATTCTCTAGCTGTTGAGTCTGGTTTGGAGTTGACCACTCTGTACTCCGTTCTTGAATGAGCCATGGCTGTGTCAGTGGCAGGACCCCAAGGGCTCAGAATTGCTGGTCCCCACAGGGTGCTTTTTGCAGAATCACGCTGAGGCCAGAAGCTGACGAGACAGAGGGTGACAAGTGGCTACTGTGCTGATGACTCATCTCTCCAGGCTGGAGAGCCACAGCCATGGGCCAGTCCTGAGCCTGCTCCTGTTCTCCAGTACTCAAGGCTGGTCCTCTTGTTCCTGGGAACCATAAGGCCATATTTTGGACTCTTCACCTGCTTCTTCTGCTCCTTATCTGGGGGAAGATGTGAGCCCGATGATGAGCTTACAGGCAAGGTTGCTACAGGGCAGGCAAAGTGATGGGAAGGCCCCTGTCCAGGTCAAGCCTGTGCTGTGCTCCCTGCTCTGCCCTGGCTTCCTGGGTGGACCGCAGTGTACTCAGAGACGTGCAGGCAGTCCACCTGTCCAGGTGCAAGCCCTAAACACTGTTACTAATGGGAACGCACACCTAGAGACTTTCCTGGTGCTTATGGCCTCGAACCATCCTCCCCTGGCCAGCCATGTGTAGGGTGACCTGCAGGCATCCGTCTCCACTGAAAGCCACCTGCCTTTGGTGACAGTCCTTTGCCCTCTCCTGCAATGGAGATTTCACAAACCTGGTGCTCTTTCTTAAGAAGACTTCTTCCATTGTATCACTTTGCTTTCTTGTCAAAGATCTGATAACTGTATTCGTGAAGGTCTCTTCTGGGGTTACCATTCTGACTCTCACCAGTCCCAGGCTGTCTCATAAGTTAGGGCAGCTGTGACACATCAGTCCTCCAGTGTGTTCATCTTCAATTAAGGGCGGTGGGATCTTCTGGGTGTCTTCATCCCCACATACATTTTAAAATCAGTTTGGTAATTGGAAAACATCTTGATAGGATTTTTTAAAGATTTATTTATTTCAAAGAGTTACACAGAGAAGGAGAGGCAGAGAAAGAGAGAGAGAGAGGTCTTCCATCTGCTGGTTCACTCCCCAATTGCCCACAACAGCTGGAACTGTGCTGATCCGAAGCCAGGAGCCCCGAACTTCATCCGATTCTCCATACGGATGACAGGGGCCCAAGCACTTGGGCCATCTTCTACTGCTTTCCTACGCCATAGTAGAGAGCTAGATTGGAAGAGGAGCAGCTGAGACTCGAAGCAGCGCCTATATGGAATGCAGGCACCCGCTACCTACACCACAGCGCTGGCCCCATTGATAGGATTTTGATTAAGACTGTGTTGGTCTATCAAGTGAAGAAATACAGATATCTGGGCTAGATTGAGTCTTCCAATCCATGACCATAGAATGTGTCTCCAAATGTTTAGTTCTTCCTTGAGACCTTTTTAGGAGCTTTGTGGTGACCTCATAGAGATTTTGCATATTTTGTTGGAGGTATACCTAGATGTTTCTTTTGTTTTGCTACAGAACCTTTTTTTTTATTTCCATGCATAGTTTTCTCATTAGATTCATTTTCCAAGAGCCCTCATATGTAGTGCAGTTCTTTTCTCATGTGCTGCTCTACACATCTCAGTCCTGACTTGGTCCTGCTCATGCACTTGCTCATCTTTTTCTAGACACACACACACACACACACACCCTCTTTCCTTCCTCTAGATTCACCATGGTGCCTCCCTGCATCATAAATAAAACAAAACAAAACCACCACAAAAGTCAAAAACACACCCTCCTGTCTCCTGAGCAGACTAATACATCTGTTTCAATACACACGATGCCAAGCAAGATTACAGAAGATGTTTTCCAGGTGTGCTGAAGAATGAATCTTCTGTCTTCTACAGATGCTGAGCCCAGATGCTCAACAAGCAAGAAGTGGGGTAATGTTTTTAAGAGATGGAGAGAGACTGAGAGAGACCTTCCATCCACTGGTTCACTCCCCCGGTGGCTGCAACGGTCAGAGCTGGGCCAATCTGAAGCCAAGAGCCTGGAGCTTCTTCTAGTCTCCCATGTGGGCGCAGGGGCCCAGGGACTTGGGCCATCTGCTGCTGCCTTCCCAGGTGCATTAGTAGGGAGCTGGATCAGAAGTGGAGCAGCTGGTATACAAACCGGCTCCCACATGGGATGCTGGCACCACAGGTTGCAGCTTAACCCTGTGCACCACAGTTCCAGCCTGGGTAATTCGTTGTTTTAAGCTATGACCACCAAAGGAGACTGCTGGCCAATCCCACTTAGATGAATAGGAAATAGGAAATGTTCACCAAGTGCCCCTAGTGGCTACCACACTAGGTGTTCGTGACACTGGGAAACTGAATGTTACCTGCCTGGGTTTATAAAATGGGATAATAAACAGATTAATTGTAGGACCTTTATGAGAGTGAAATGGAAAAAGGCACCCATCCCCCCTTAGTTTTTTAAGATGTATCTATATTTGAGAAGCAGAGTTACAAAGAGGCAGAGGCAGAGAGAGAGACAGAGAAGAGAGAGAGGTCTTCCATCTGCTGAT